ACTGAAGAGCATGTACAAACCTCCATACCTCCCGAGTAAGTTAGGTGATGGAGTGCTGCATTCGCCTGTCACTTTCCTCTGTGCTTCTTGAACGTCTCCTGCACGCCCTTACCCGCCTTGATATCCTGCATGCACCTCTCATCGACCTCACGACCCCTCGTCGCCAGAGCGATGACCTTCTCTGCAAGTTCCGCGGGAACACAGACGACGCCATCTTCGTCGGCGACCATCCAATCTCCCGGAGACACCTGCACTGCAGGGAAGTCCTCCTCCGACACGTCAGGAGAGCGAATCACCAGAGGTACATTCACCTCGGACGGGCGGGTAAAGGGGGATTGTCCCAGGGTAGAGTGGCCCCTTGCGAAAACGGGAAAAGAGGCAGCGCGGTGCTCCGCGAGGTCTCTGCATCGACCGGAGATGATAACACCGTGCGCCCCGCGAGCCTGTGCTCCAGCGGTCATCAAGCCTCCCCATACGGCGTTCTTCACATCTGCACGAAAGGTAGTCCGCAGGTGCACAGCGTGAGCGACAAACAGGCAGAGGATCAAGGGATGATACTGAACGACTGGGTGCATTTATCACGACCACCGAGCCCACCGGGGCGGTGTCCACGAAGTGCGCGGACAGCTTCGGCGCGGTAGTGTCTGACCCAAGCACCATCTGTACTGTGTACGCGGGTCCACAGACGCGGGTCGTCGGATCCGACGGCGAGAGCATGTGTATGTCGGGGATGTGCCCTCCATGAGGACTACCCAGCTTGATCAACGCGTCTGAGATCTCGCATGTCGAGAATCCAGCGAGCCTATCCTGGATAGCTGTCGCGTCCGAAGACATGTCGAGCACTGGTGATGGAGAACTACGTAGTCGAGGCGGCGATAGAGTGCGAAGAGAGCAAAGAATTCTGCTCACAGCTTCACTTGACCCATGATGGTCTTCCGAGCGGAGTGCCCTCCATGAACGCAAGCAGAATCACAAGCCAGGAATACAAGCGTCGGATAAGTCCTTGTACGCAATCGAGAATGGACTTATCCGCACAATAACGTCCTCGTAATGCTGCCGAAACGTCCGATCAGCTCTCCGCCACCGCCACCACCGCCTCCTGCTCAACCTCCTCCGCCTCCCTTTACACCCTAACTCTTATCTGGCTTGCTACTCAACATTCATTGGCAGATCTAGTGAAAGCACGACCGCGTGTCCCTGGATTGCTTGAGGAGCGCCACCAAAATGCCCAGACTACCGGACTCCTCCACCTCGGATCCCCTATGGACACGGACAGCTCGCCGGTCTCGCAAGACTGTGCGCAGATTGAACAAGGCCGTGATGCGTTCATATCACTTCCGGATACCCAAGTATGACATGCCTATACGCCTGCGGCCGGTATGCATACCACTTTGGCGCGGTTTTCTACGACTGACATCCAGAACTCCACACATACTTAGTGGTTCGTGGTCTTCACCTGCCTGATACTGGTCACCCTAGCCTTGCTTGGGTTCACCAACTTCTCGCATGCGCTTCCTCTCAACGACAAGGTCCTGCATTTTCTCTGTATGGCCATCGCCACTGGAGTATTCTACTTCATCTTCGATGTTGAAGAGTGCGTCGTCTCCTGTCTGTCTGTAATGCTTCTTCCTCATATGAGCGTGACGTTCTCTTTTGGACCGACCGATACAGGGATGCGAGGCGCATATGGTTCTGGCGTAGTGCGCCGTTGATATTCTCGGGCGTCGTTTGCTTCTTCTTTGGAGGCATCATAAGCGAAATAGTGCAATCTATGCTCCCAGTATGTGTCTAGTGCTGTGACGGACCCGGCATCGTGCTCACTGTTGTGCTAGTACAAGGAGTTCCAAGTGGGAGATGTTGCGGTCAGCATCTCCATGCTTGTTTTGCGGCAAGAGTCATGCTAATTTCTGAACCTATCCAGGCAAACCTCCTCGGATCGACGCTTGGCTTATACATTTCATATCACTTAGAGCGATACTACCGGCATCGACGAGAGGTACGACCTTCAGGACACATCCGTCTTCCGACGTCTTGACATCGTTCGCCGCAGATATCTCGACTGTACCAGCCTCTCGATCCCGACGCGGTGTCGGAGGACGAAGAGGATTCCGACATAGACGGAACCCAGTTGCTGCCGTTGCACTACGAGCCCCGTACGCCTCGCACGCCTGCGAAGCCGGGTCGAGCGGCGGGAGCACCGAAGACCGTGCGCATTGCAGATGTATGGGACGAGCGGGAGGAGCTGTTTGACATCGGGGACGAGAGCGAGGACGATGACGAGCCGCGGAGCCGGGGAGGCCCTCCGCCGCCTCCGCCGAAGATTGTCGTCACAGGAGAATGATTTGTTTCGTATACTGTACTGGGTCATGGGCACGTAATGTCTGTAGCTGTAACAACCTATTGGGGGAACGTGGACTTTGCTTTGTGGCATCTATGATTCCTGAGCGTGAGCATTGTGTCCGAGAGCCTGCTCGTCGGTGGCTGCAGGAGCGGATGCCTGGCCCGAAAGTAGCGCGTGCAGCCGGCGCGTCTCGCTATGATCGCGACTCTCATCCATGCCGACATGTCTGGCCTCCTCGTCCGGCCTACTTCGCCCTGCTCTGCATGCTCGTAGCTCTCATACGCGCCAATTGGCGACATATGCCGCACGGAGAGTCGCAGGCTCTCGGAAGACAAGCTCTGGCGTGCGACGAGCAGCGCTCTCTACCGCTGCGACCGGCACCTCCGCAAAGCACGAGGAGCAGCGAGCGCATACCTTGACTGTCCTTCACAAGACCACAGCTCTCCTGCCTCGTGTTCTGTCTAGCTCTCGACCTAGTCCTGATGGTATCTCCCTGCAAGAATCCCTGCAGTTCTGGGAGGACGTACTCGGCCAAGTGTATGAAGACCTATCTCTCGCGCCGGGGCAGAAAGAGAAGGGCGTTGTCAGAGTGGCCGGTGAGTGATGAGAACTCCACTCCCGGAGGCGACTGCCTCGCGCCGATGGTACTGACCTGGGTGTCCACACTGGCAGTGTACGGAGTGGATGAACTGTCCAACGCGCGCGACCTAGTGACCGCGCTGCTTGAGGACCCATTCGTGTCAGACGAGCAGAAGAAGATTCTCCGCAGTCGTTGGGAAGCACAACCTGAAGGGAGTCGTTTTGTGAGGATCCAGTGAGTTGTGTGCAGCTACACATCGCCGAAGGTACTCAATCTACTCCAGGTACGGTACCTCGCCGAGCACCGGTGACGTCGTCCACGTCCAGTCGTCGTGGCTGCAGCATTTCGGCGTTCCCCTAGAGGTCTCAGAGTACAAGCCTTCCTCCTCTCCAGAGACCGCAAAAGCTCTCTTCACGGCGGATGTACCCATCATACTGTGCAATCCTGCCTCGACTCCCTTACCATCCATTCTGCCCGTCTCTCCAGATCCACCCTTGCCCCTCTCCCGGCAGCATACTGTCCTTGCCGTTTTATCTCCTTCGCCCACCAGCTCGGCTACAGCCGCACAAGCCTCTCATGTCAAAGGCCTTGCTGTTCAAGAGGACCTCCGAGTTGTGTTCGTAGACCCCACACGCGCGCTGCACGGATTGGAGCAACTTGGTTATGCTCCAGCTACGCCTCTCTCTGTACAGCGGTACCAAGATGATGTTACGGGGTCGAACGTCGCTGGCATTACCCACGCCGTCAAGGACATCATCTCCCAGGCCGTGGGCAGCAGTACAACCGTGCCCGAGTCTGCTAAGGTCGTCGCGATGCACACACAAACCGGGCGCGCGCTCGTGAAGGAGGTTCTGCTAAACTGCCGAAATGTCCTGCGCCATGCGGAGCTTGAAGCTGACACCGTACTCACCGGCACGAGCACTCTGCGTGGACAGATGGAAGAGGCGAAGGCCAAGGTCCACCTAGATGTCTTCGGCGCCTCTGGGAATGACGGGGACGAAATCGCCAAGGCAGTCGGCCACGCGCGCAGGAGCGTGAAGGTGACGATGGACTCGTTGCAGTGGTACAAGCTCTTCTGGAGAGTGGACGACATCCGGGAAGTGGTGACCGCTGCTGTTGACCGGGCGTGGTGTAGAGACCTTGAGCGCAAGGTAGCCTTGTTCATGACTCCGCAACGACGTCGGATACTCACTCGTAGCATTGCAGCTGGTATTCCATGCTGGACGACTAGCCGCATTGCAATCCTCCTTCAAGGATTCGGCTGCAGCACTTTGTCGGTCATTCCCGCCGTCCTCGCCCTACCACTCCCCAGTCCTCCATAACACGCTTGAACGCATCGTCTCCGCGCCCTCGTATCCGCTCGCAGCAACCGCCCTGACTTCGCCATTACACGCCCGCCAAAGCCAGCTCGGCTTCCCCACGGAGCGCCTACACGTAGCGGCACAGCGTGCGGTCATTACCATGAGCGGTAGCATACTAGGTGGTTTCGGCGTCGCGTGGTCAGGCTGGGCCAGCGAGCTAGGTCTGGCAGGAGGGTTCATCAACGTCGGGATGAGCGTAGAGACTGCCCTGGGAGTGGGTATGCTAGGCGCTGTGCTTGGCGTGCGATGGGCCGTCGGCCGATGGGACAAGGCGAAGAAGCGGTGGTGGAAAGACTGGGATCGTGTCGGTGAGGGGCTGGAGAGGGACTTGAAGGTCAGTATGGGTCGTGTGCGTCCTCTGAAGTCACAACGCTGATTCACGTGGTTATAGGACGCTCTTACTCGTACGATGGACCAGCACGTAGTCCTCGTCTCCGAGACCGCCTGCACCGGTTTGGAGAAAATCGTCGCAAAACGGAAGGCGGAGGTGCAGGAGCTCAAGGAGGAAGTGCAGTCCCTAGAGGCTGAGCTGGATAGACACAGGCATGTCGATACCTCTCGATGAAGCTGTCCAATGCGATACACCACTCAGCCACGTTCCTTGAATCTATGAAAGTGTGCCAGCACTTTGAACGCATCTATGGACTGCTATTTGAGTTATGAACTGTGCGGTGATCATGACAAGAATGGCTGTTCGCGTGTATCGAATCGACAAAAATACACTGAGCGGGAGTCGAACCCGCGCCGCTTGCTACCAGCTTGAAGCCATGGAAGGCAAGCATGATACCGTTTCACCATCAGTGTGTTGTTAGTGTGTCCTCATATAACAAATATAATTTTTGTACGTCAACTAGGGGCCTCAGGGTCAACGCTGGCTAGTCCGCCACAGAAACATCCTCGGATACTATCTACAGAAACATTCAGTCCAGGACAGCATACTTCTTCAAGTGTTCTGGTATCGCCGATTCCAGGCCCTTCGCCTGTAGCCACTTCTTGGAGAAGAGGCGGCTCTGGTAGCGGTACGCCCCGTCGCAGAGGACGGTGGCGATTGTCTTCCCTACAGTTGAGAAGTCAGTCAATGTCACGGCGAAGTGGTCAGAAGGATGCGCATACCTGGACCAAGCTTCTTCGCGAGCTCAACGGCAGCAACAACATTGAGGGCGGAGCTTGCGCCGAGGTAGAGACCCTCGGTATCTAGGAGATCGTACAGCATGGCAATCGACTTCTCGTCAGGAATATGTAGTGCTCCGTCGATGTTCTTCACGAAGGTGCCCAAATTGTTGGTGATACGGCCCTGACCGATACCTATTCGCTCTCTCTGAGAATGCGCCATGTTCAATGACGAAAGCGGGACCCGTACCCTCGGTGATAGAGCCTCCACTGCGCTCCGTCAGCTTTCCTCCACTGCTGATGTAGCTGTAGAGCACACTGCCCGGAGGGTCCGCGAGCCACACTTGCGTCTTCCCGTCGCTCCTCTCCTTCAGCGCGCGCCCGGTACCAGCGAGCGTGCCGCCCGTGCCCGTCGCGCAAATGAATGCGTCCACCTTGCCCCGGGTCTGCTCCCAGATCTCAGGACCGGTCGTGCGATAGTGCGCTTCTGCGTTCGCGGTGTTGTCGAACTGGTCCGTCCAGATAGCATTCGGGAGCTTCTTCGCAAAGTCGCGTGCCTGGTGGTTGTAGTTCGCCGGATTCTCATACGCGACTGCGGGCACGGGGTACACCTCCGCACCGAGCATGCGCAGGAGGTCGATCTTTTCTTGGCTCTGTTGCGTAGAGGAAAACAGAGTTGCACGGGCAGGGATTTGCGGTCAATGAACGTGCAGCCCCACGAGAGACTGGACATACCTGCGTGTTGGGCATGAAGATTACGCAACGGTACCCTCGCGCGCGGCAGACATGGGCCAGCCCAATACCGGTGTTTCCAGCGGTACCCTCGACGACCGTCCCGCCAGGTTTAAGCCTACAGGGGGGCCCATGGTGAGTGGTACGGAAGGTGCCATGACAGACCCACTGCACTCACAGACCTCGCTTCTCCGCATCGAGAATCACACCGAGCGCCGCGCGATCCTTGACGCTACCACCAGGGTTCTGAAGTTCGCTCTTCGCGACAATGTCGCACCCTGTCTGCTCGGAGAGCTTCTGCAGGCGAATCTGTAGTCGCGGCGCATATTAGCCACGTCTCGGAGTTTGCATGAGACGGAGAACCGACTAGGGGAGTGTTGCCGATGCCACCAACGAAGCCATCGACCGGGCGAGACGTGAAAGCGCGAGCAAGTGGGCGCAGTGGTCTCGCCCTGAAGGCGGCGGTAATGGGCTGCATGGTGGTAGCAAGAAAGAGAACTGTGGGCTCCCGAGTACCAACGGAAGGTGGTCGGAGGCTCGCTGGGAATTACTTTACGCAGGGCGTGTCATAGTCGCGGGGCTGGCTTTTGTGTGCCGCCAGAGCCGTCCTCGCAGCGAAGGCGTCATCGTGAGCAACGTTCTGGCCGCCGAGCCACAGTGCGCGGTTATGTAAACGCATTTCCAACCGTTCTCAAGAACGCAAATCCTTCATCAACAACTGGACACATCCATACATGACCGTGCCCGCAGGTAGCTTAGGTCGACCTGGCTCGGCAACCGCGGCCTCAAGGATCAGACTGCGTGCATTTACCCCAAGCTCCAGATGAGATTGCGAGAAGGACAGGCAGGTGGTAATAGAGCACAACCGTAACAAGACGCGAGACGGCAAACCATGAAGTGAAGCAGGCGGGGGCCTATCCATTAAAGTGCGAATACATAGGTGTATCATCGAGGGGAAGGGGGTAACAGATGAACAGGGAAGAAGGAACAAGGAAACAGTAGGTAAGCGGAGACGCAGCTAAGTGAAGTTGGTAGGCGGCGAGAGCGAGAAACATGTGGACTAGCTTGTCCGTCGTGCGAGCGATCGTGCGTCATGCGGGCCGTTATATGTCGAGATCACCAGAGACGTGTCGGGGTATAGATGATAGTGGAAGGGAACCTCAACCGATTTTCCGGAAGCAGCAGGGAAGGGCCACCAGCTTACTGCTGGCGCTTCTTCACGTTCTGCGAGAGCCACTGAAGACCCTCGAAGAGACCCTCTCCGGTCGTGGCGCAACTGCACAATGTGAGCGACATGCGGCAGGCGCAGTGAGGGTGTTGCACGTACCTTGGGTGGACATACCATGACCTATCGCGCATTCGGTGCAGACCCAACTTCTCCGTAACTTCCGCGGGCGACATTGCTGTATAAGAAGCCAATTAATTATCTTGGATGGGTCAAGCATAGTCGGAAGAGCGCACCTCCGGGCAAATCTTGCTTGTTCGCAAAGACCAACAGCAGGCAGTCCTTCATTTCACGGTCACTCAATATACGGTGGAGCTCCTGCTTCGCCTCGTCTATACGCTCCCGGTCTGAGCTGTCGACGACGAAGACGAGGCCCTGGGTTCCGGTGTAATAATGCCTCCACAGCGGACGAATCTTGTCTTGACCGCCGACATCCCAGACGTTGAACTTGACATTCTTGTATGTTACAGTCTCCACGTTAAAGCCGACTGCACGTCAAGAACAAAGCTACAGCAACGTCACGCCTCCGAATGTATACGATGCCACTCACCTGTAGGAATGGTGGTGACAGACTGGTTCAACTTGAGCTTGTACAGGATGGCTGGCGATAGGGCGCGTCTTTCAGCACCGCAAACCTTGCAGAAAGAAAGCACGAGAGCACTCACTCGTCTTGCCCGCCGCGTCGAGCCCCAACATCAGCAGCCGCATCTCCTTGTTCCCAAAAATCTTCCCTGCGACGTGGGAGGCGGCCCCTCGTCAGCATGCCCATTCGCATCGCTTCCTCGCACGACCTAGCTGCCGCGACGTGTGACCAGACGAGCAAAGAGACGCACCCAAGGCCTTCGAGAGATTGGCACCCATGGCTGGCAGCGGATTGCAGAAGGTAACGAACGACGGGAGGTGGGAGAGCGAGGGAAGAACGGGAGAGTCAACGACAGAGCGGCACGGCGCGTCGACTCGAGCCAGAGTCCAGCAAGCATCCCAGACGCCCGATCCCTCGGAACGGACCCCGGCCACCCCGCTATCAGACCACTTTCCGCACAACGCGGCCGCCGGCATGTTTGGGCATCGATACAGCCTGTCTTCACAGCACATTAATTAGACGAGGATATATAACTCTAGCACTAGTACAGAACACTCCAGGCGCATGAGGTATACACAGCAGTAGCACCGTCCCAAGCAAACCATAACCAGATAGTCCTCTCCGAACCAAAGACTACGAGGGCGGCTGCACTGCGCGAGGCGAAGCCAGCTGCGACTGATTGAACACCTTCAGCCACCCCTCGCCCATGTCCGAACGCAGCGCCTCGATGCGTGCACGGAACGCGTCCGCCTCCTTGAACTGGCTTTCGGCCGTCGTGTCGTCCTTGCTCGGCTCGTACACTGACGCCGAGACGCGCGCACGTCTACCCGCCGACCGGGATAGTGTTGACGACTTACGGAGCGAGCCGTACGAAGAGGCTGCAAATGCCTCCGTGGTTTCCCCCAGTCCCGAGTTCGCCGAGGGAGCGAACTCAGTCATGTGTCGGCTGTGTCGCGACTTCGGCTTCGCAACGGGCGTGGGCTTCACAGAAGGCGCCGTAGCTGGAGCTGGAGGCTGCTCACTCTGCTCAGGTGGCGGCTGCGTGGGTTGAGGGGCGGGGGGTTGCTGCTCAGTCGCTGCAGCACGCTTGATGGGGCTAGCGGTCCTCGAGGTGATCGTAGGCCGCGAAGCACTCCTCGCACTTGCTGCTTCACTACCCTCTCGCCCGCCGTCCAGGTCGACGATGCGCTTGTTCTTCTTCTTGCGCCCGCGAGCTACGGCGGCAAGATGCGGCGAGGTCGGATGCGAGGCTGGAGAGTCCGTAGGAGAAGAGTGCAGAGGGCTGCCGCGGGGTCCTGCGACACCATTGTTGATCTTCGACGGGCTGCCAACCGGCACAATGGGTGGCGACTGGGCAACGGATACAGGTCTAGAGGAGGTCATTTGCTCCGGCGGAGGGGATGTGAGATATCGTTTCTCGTAAAAACCAGGTGGCGACCCGTCGAGCAGGACGGTCTTCTTCTCCTTCCAGAAGAAGTCGAAGCAGCGTATGCGGTAGCCTTCCTCGATCTCCACCAACGGATTGCCCTCCACCCACACTTCCGCGATGTTGGGCAGCGTGGCGAGGCGTCCAATCTCAGCGCTCTCCTCAATCAGGTTATGGCGGAGGTCGACGCGTTCGAGTGCGAGCAGCCGCTCGAGGCCGCATATGGATTCTAGGCGATTGCGAGAGAGGTTGAGGGTGAGGATCCCGCCCAACATGGTGTATATGCCCAGGACGGAGTCGATCATGTTGTCGGAGAGATTGAGGTATACTAGGTTGTAGAGCGCGGAAAGGCCGGGTGGCACAGAGACGAGGAGATTAGAGGAGAGGTCCAGGTGGGTAAGAGAGGTAAGGTGGGACAAAAACGAAGTCGGAAGGAAGGTGAGGGCGTTATCTGCTAGGGAGAGATGCCGCAGGAAGGCCCACTTGTACGAGGACAGTTGCGGGGCTGAGGTAAGTGTGGGCGTATCGGGTTCTTTGGCTTCGGCAGAGTTGTCCTCCTCCGCATCCTCGTCACCCTCCGGAACTGATTCTGGGAGCTGCGTGCTGTGGAAGGATGACTGTCGCGAGACGCCGCGAGCTATCCGTCTTGACTTGCTCGAGCTGATTCTTCCCTCCCGCCTCCCCTGATCGTCCAGGACCGCACTGATGAAGATATCGGAGACGTCTTC